TCCTTGTGCATGCATGTAATCAAGTCATTGGCTTGCTTGCTTGTATTAAGGCACAGATGTATTATGGGAAATCCAAATGCACAAAAAATGTATTTTAAATTAGACCCTACATTCATGGATCTGATTGCTGACTGCAGTTTCAGAAAAAAAATCAAACGCTTGTTTGACTTGTTAATAATCACATTTTAATAAGGCAAACACTGAGACTTTTTTTTTACATAAAAACACTTAAGCATATGATGAAGCGTCCGCCTCGAAGATGATGGCTTTCTGGAAGTAGAGCTTTAATCACATGTTTTATAACCTTCCTTAGCTGGTACTTGATAAGTAGTGCTGTGTGGACTAGATTGGTAGCTCTGTGTAGGCACTGCATATCAAAAGAGGAGATGATTGCATTGTGGTTTAGCGGCCAGTCTATTAGACCACAAAAGCAATAGCATGGCTTGATTCAGACCAATCTTTGTGCAGAATCACGGAGTTCAAAAAAACTACCCTAAATGCAAATTTTTTGAATAACAGTGCCCTGAGAGAGTTGGGACAGCTAAGGACACACAGCCAGAACTGGTCAAGATGATTGAACAACTTTGTTGAAGTTGATGCTATAAACCATAGAATCGTGGAATGGCCTGGGTTGCAAAGGAGCACAGTGCTCATCCAGTTTCAACTCCCTGCTGTGTGCAGGGTCACCAACCAGCAGCCCAGGCTGCCCAGAGCCACATCCAGCCTGGCTTTGAATGCCTGCAGGGATGGGGCATCCACAGCCTCCTTGGGCAACCTGTTCCAGTGCCTCACCACCCTGTGTGAAAAACTTCCTCCTAATATCTAACCTAAACCTCCCCTGTCTCAGTTTAAAACCATTCCCCCTTGTCCTATCACTATCCACCCTCATAAACATGTAACACAAACTGTTTCTGACACCTGTCTTCACATGTCCTAATTTCACAGTGATCTGACTCCATTATCTCAATGCTACTGTTAGATTTTTGAAATCTTCTATGATGATCCTTTTTGTAATGGGTGGAGTACCTCAAAAATCTCTAGGGCATGAGAAATGCAGCGCTTGCAAACATTTCTCTAATAAAGTTTGATAAATACCTGGAACACTAAATGGGAATTTTACAGGTGCTGTCAGTTCTGTCATTCTGTTACTGTTTTTTTGCAAAGTGGGGAGGCATTGTTATGTGCTGGGCCCACACCTGACCTTAAGCCGAACCCCAAACCTCTTTGTGATCCCACCTTGTACATGCACGTCCACCCTTCCTTGGGAGCTGGCTTATGGCAAGCCTGGGGGCGAAGCTTGGCGCAGACAGGATGTCAGGGTTCTTACCCTGTCTCATCATCTGGGCAGCAGCCTGAAAAACATATAAAGGACCCTTTTTGTCCTGTGAATATTTCCTGCAGCAGCTTGTTCATTTTGGTACTTTCCTTGGCTTCCTTTAAACTCAGCATTGAGCTAAAAGCATAGAGCTCTGCTAACTTCAGCAGAATTGCTTGTAAACGCAAGCTTTGAAGGAGCTTCTCTAAGAACTCTTGTTGTTATTGGATACGGCGTGTGAAAAATGAAAGGGTGATTTATGGCACTGAATACAATCCATTCATTCTCCTCCAGTACCAGTGAGGAAACCTTTCATGATTTTGCATGATGTTTCTAAGTGGCAAAAGTCACACCCACACACATCTTTTCAGCTAAATAGTGACTTGGTTGCAGGTACACAGATCCTGATGTCGCAGTTCAGGAGACTGCCTGGCCTGCTTGTGCTGTCACTTGCACAGAGTAACTTTTGTTTTTCCAGACTGGTAATCTTGCTTTGAGGCAGCTGGGCAGACTTACCTGAGCCTCTGTATGACTGTCACAGGAGTGTTACCTTTTTCAACCTAGGGGTTGCAGACTGTACTCAAGGAAAATCAGTTTATTGCCAATTAAAATAGATTCGGGTGGTGAGAAACAAAACCAAAACTTTACACACCACTTTCTCCCTACCCTCCTTTTTTCCCAAGCTTGCTTTCACCCCATCCCCAAGTTCTCTGCCTCCCCCCAGAAAGCGGCACAGGGGCTGAGGGGATTTTTATCATGAGCTGTAATAGCTCTTCTCTGCACCTCCAGTTTGACCAGTTTGAGTCAGTTTGACTGATCTGTGCTGGTGCAGAATTTAGTCTAGTCCTCTGTTTTAATGCATCCCTGAGATGTGTTTTTCTTTGCTCCACAAGATTTCATGCAGCCTCTGTTGAGAGAGACTTTCCACTTTTATTTCTGGTAATTTATTTTTATTACTATAACATAATAGAATATATTCACATATATATTTTTTATTAATATAACCACATATGGAATGCTCTTTTTCAACTTTGTCCTCAGCTGACTGCCTCTTCCTCTGCAGGACAACATTCAAGATGTTTTGTTTTCAACCTAAATTCTTTGCAACTTGTAATTACAGTAGGAATTTTAATCCACTATAAGGAGTGCTAATGGATGTGCAGTAAACTAATGACAGTCTATGGAACTGGGCCTAGCAAAGTAAAAGCTATAAAAATTTGGAGGAACTGAGCTGGAACTTCAGAGCTGTTCCACAGTGGATGGAAAAGTCAGTTCTGACAGTGGTGCTAAAGCTGAGGAGGTGGTTTGAGAGCCTGGAAGAGGACGATGCATCCTGAAGTGTTGGAAAAGGAGGAGTAGAGGGTGAGAACAAGAGGAAGACAAGTGATTTTTCTCTCCCCATCATTTCCACCGACTATTCTGATTGTGGAAATGAACTACCCTCACCAGGCCTGGTTTCTCTTCAGAGCCCAGTTGCTGCTGCATGGGCTGTCCTTTGTGATCTTTCTTTCTGCATGCTTTTTGTGGCAGCCATAGCAAAAGTAGCAGTCCTGGTGGGCAGAAGCAAACTGATTAGTTAGGTTGCTTGGGGAAGAGGAGCAGGTTGTGTACATGCCCTCACTTTGCTGGACATATTTTCAGATACTAACAGGGTAGCTTTGCCTGTGCCAGCCTGACCTGGAGAAGAGCTTATGGATGGGCTGGCATGGAGGGAGAGCAGCTGCTGGTGGCTGTGATGCCTTCCCCAAGATGCTCTGTAAGCAGGCTGCATGGTTGTGCTCATAGCTGTAGTTCTGGCTGCTTCATTTGCTGAACTGTGTTGGGGTTAATGAGGTTGTGGTGAGGTGAGCCAGGGCTGTGCTGGGGGCTGGATGCTCTGATCCTCCAGCTTTGCTTTCAGTCATTTACTGGAGATTTCCACAGGGCGCTCTGCATGTGGAGGTGAGTAGCTTACCTTTATGGATGCAGCTGAGTAAACGTGTTGCAGTTCTCCCAAACACTGAGATAACGTCTAACACGTAGTTCTAAATAACAGGTAGTTCTTGATCTGCCGTAGCGTTTCCAGTGACTCACTGCTGCTTTTTTTTCCTCCTGTTGCAGTAATTACAGAAGAGTGTTGCAGTTTCTGACTCAGAGGGAAGCTTCATTCCAAGGCTTCTGGCCGTGCAGGAGTTCTAGCTCTGCAGCTGTATGGAGTGTGTTGTGGGGACTGCATGGTAGAGACTGCAGGTGGAGACTGAGCCAAAAATAATGCAGGCACAGCACATATCTTGAGCAGTGATTGCAAGACATTAAAAGGAGGATTTTCTTTGGATTAGGGGCCAGAAACTTGGTTGCCAGAATCTTGGCTATGACTCTTGTGTCTCTCAGACAGGCTGCTTACAGGAAAGACATCCCAAGAGATACATCTGATGGCTGCTCTTCCAGACTGGAAACTAAGGAGTGAAAAAGTGTGCTCCACCCAGATCTATTGTGGTTGCATAGCTTTTGAAAGGAAATGGTCTTCCTGCAGACTCATAGGAACTCTGGACAAGAGCCTCATGGGGCAGGCATGGCAATGGGTCTCAAACGTGTGCCATCTTGTGGGATAGGAGCTGTGGGGCAAGGTTTCAAATGTGTTGCCTCTTCTAGCTCCATGAGCACAATCGTTTCTTCTTCTGGGGAGAAGTTCTGCAGATATTGCAAGCTAGTGCACTGTGTACACATGGACCAGCTGCAGCTGGCATGACCGCTTGGGGTGCAGCAGCACAGCAGCAGTGACATGCTGCCAAATGTGACCTGACAGCCCTGCCGTGGGGACACATGAGGCTGCAGGGGAGGGAAGCACAAGTGGACCACAGGGCTCACATCTCCTCTTTGCCTTGTGAGATGTCAGAGCTGACAGGCACACGGACAAGTCTCGGTCCCCTGTTGTTTTCATGTTCACACAGCTTCCATTTGTAAAGTGACCTCCTAGATTTGGTGGTGCTGCATTGTCACTTTGTGCTGGTGCAATTGGCTGTGTGCAGTTGGCTTCCAGCCCTCTGCTTCTCAGAAATGTGTGTGAAGGCCTTCTTGCCATCAGATAAGTGTATTCAGAGGCAAGTCTGTGGAATTCAGACCGTGTTTCTTGGAAGTGGCAGTAAGTGCTCGTCACAAAAATACCATGCTTATGAAACAAGTTTCATTGTATTTAAGCATGATATTTCTGTGAGGTGCACCATTCCATTGGTGCTTCTCTAAGGATAGGAATTTCTTCCCCAAGCTCTGGGGATATGGTTATTCTGAGCATCTCCATGTAAGTGTGCACTTAGTTTAAGGCTCACAAAACTCATTTAGATGCCTAGGAGCCCTGCAGAGTTAAGTGGAAGAGCTGCATGGTCATGGGTTGGATATAAAAATACTGTTGTGTGCGATATAAGTAATGTCTAATCTATGTGATTTGTGTTTGATTTGCTGATAAGTGCCCTGACTGATACATTTAATGCCAACAAGGTAAATCTCTGACAATGCAGTCCAGTTCAGGTCTTTTGGGGTCCTGGGCTCTCAGGAACATTCTTGGTAAAATGTCTTGAAGCACGAGACTAGAAGCAAGATGACAGTACATTTAGGTGTGTAGGGGCTTTCATGAGCTATAAGTTCTCTCTTCAATGAGAAGTAACTACATGGTCTGTGGGATGCTTCAGCTCTTGATTTCTCTTTCCAGGCAGAGAGGACAACTGATGAGAGAATGGGCTCTGCAGGGAAGCCTAGCCCTGACACCATGACAGCTGACAAGTCAGAAGCTGGAGACTTAGCACTGGAGCCCCTGCTCACTTGCAAGCTATGTCTCTGTGAATATTCCCTGGATAAGATGACCACTCTGCAGGAATGCCACTGCATCTTTTGTACATCGGTAAGATTTAGCAGCACCTTTAAGTTACAAGAGCAGAGTAATGGAAGATAGACAGAACTTCAAGATGGGACTGCTTACATCCTGCTAGAAGTGTTACCTCTGCTGATAGGGGATGCTTTCCTAGAGCATTTGGTATTAGTCTCTCTTGCTTTGTCTAGAAGATTTCTCTGTTATTCTGCATTTAATAATATGCAGCTTTAACAGATGATCCTGTAGCATACAATAATAATAAATCCCGGTAGTAAATAGGAAAAAAAGATGCATTTTAAGACTATCAGAGAACATACACATTCATTTCTTCTGAAGCAAAAGTCATCCTATGACTGTGGTTTTGTTTCCCTGTTATTTTCTGGGTAGTCATAGGCCTTTTTTTCCTTTAAGTCTTGAATGTAATTTTTTTAAGGGCAATCAGAAAACCTAAACAAAAATTAAACTTGGCCTATTGAACCTTTGCCTCTGCAGTCTGTGCTGCAGAGAAATCGCCGAGGTCATGCATTGCCTATAGTTGTCAGTGAGGATTTTGCACCCTGCAAATTCAGATCAAATAAAGCTGGTGGAAGTGATAAAGGCTGGGGTTGAGTAAGCTCATAAAAGCCTTGCAGATATTAGTGCTCTTCTGGTTTCTTTGTCAGCATGGGGAAATGAATCCAGTTTCTCTGGCAATAGTGACTTTGATGTACCTGACTAATGAATACTGGAAGCAGGTCAGAAGTCACAGTACAGAAGGTTTTGGGTTTTTTTTAATATCTCCAGAATAAAAGTGTTTATTTTTTGACAACAGATTGCAGGTAAGCCTCAAATAAGTACTTCTAAATTTTGCACTTGATTGTTTGAACTCAGAGAAGCAAAGTGATGTTATGAAGCAGGATAAAAATAATAGAATGGCTTATTTTGGAGGGGACCTTAAAAATCATCTAGCTCCAACCCCCCTGCCATGGGCAGAGTTGCCACCCACCAGATCAGGCTGCCCATCCAACCTGGCCTTGAACGTCTCCAGGGATGGGGCATCCACAGCTTCTCTGGGCAACATGTGCCAGTGCCTCACCATCCTCAGACCAGCCTCCACCTGGACATAGAGCTGTTGAGAACAACGCTTTGCCTACATCCATCCAACCAATTCTTTGTCCATCTGATAGTCCAGTCTTCAAATCCCTATGTTTCAAGAAACCAGGATAAGAGTGGTTAATTGCATTTTCAGCCTGAAATTCATGTAGCGTCTTTTCCATGCTGACTTCCACAAGACATGCCTAGCAGGTAGATACAAAGGAAGATAGAACTTTAAATTTAAAACTTGGAAGCATTGATATTTATAAAGCAGTCTCACTCTTCTCTGAGAATTTACTGACTGATTTACTAACATTAGTAGCAGTTGTCTCTAACCTGAGTATTGGCTGAGCAGAGTAATCCTCTGGCCCTAGGAAAGGGAGGTCTGCTGAGTACTGTACCAGGCAGAGCTGAGTTCTCCACTGTTCTTAAAGGAGAAATCAGTGACAACTGGGTATGGCTGCTGTTCCTACCCATCCTTTGTTGATGCTGAACCTGCCACCTTGCATGTGTACCTTATACTTGGATGGTAGCATGAAGCATGTCCGCCCTGAACTTGGCTTTAGGACTACCATTACAGAGTGCAATCATGGTTGTTTTGCATCTGTGCTGACTCTGTATAAGGCTAGAGTCAGCCTTGGGTGAGTTTTGAATGCAGCTGGGTGAAGCCTTTAGACAAGCTCGGTGTATATGAGTTGGCTTAACATGCCTTTGTTGTGCTTATGCTCTGTGTCTACCCCTTGGCTGTTGTTGCCTGTTCACCTCTGTCTTTCACAGTCACTTCTCACTTGTCCTGTGATCACCTTGTCTGGCTGTGATACCAGGGACAGGTAGAAAAGGAGCATCTTTTATGTGCTCAAGCGTTCTGTGATGAGTTTCTGCTCTCTTCTTATTTCTGTACCTGACGGTGCAAAAGATTGGACATGGGCTGTGTCACTGCCTGCAGAGTGCTCTGTGCTTTCCTGCTGCCTTTCCTTTTGCTCACTACGTGTGCTGAGATGGAAACAAATACAAGCAAATACCAGCATATCTTTGCTCCCAGAGATTCCTGTGTGCCCACAAAGAAATGCCATGCTATGTAATGCAAGGAGGTACACTGAACTTCGGTTCAGAAATGTTCCTGGAGAGATCAAGGGTTTCAGAAAGCACTGAAAGATTTTGTAGTGGTTATAAGGAGAAAGGAAGTTGTAAGGCACTTATATAGAAGCAAGATGTGTAACAGAGGAAGGCTGTTTGATACCTCTAGCACAGATGTAGTTGATAATCTGTGTCTGTATTGATGCAACGGAGACGCATAGATCTTACCTCCTTCAACAAAGAGGTCTCTGTCTTTTAACCTGCTTGTATGCTTTTCCATCTTGAAGAAGATACCTTCTTAATGCAACATCTGTCTTAAAGGCTGTGTGAATGTTAACCTTGAGCTGTAGGAATCTAGCCCGTATTAGTTTTTGAGCTAGCAGAGCTACCTGTTTGCATAGCTTATTTGTACTTTTTATCACTAAGGTTAATTCTGTAGATCCATGAACAGTATTAAATTTGAAATTTAATAGAAGAATACTTCACGTGGACATAGGATGTTCAATTCTACTAAAATGAAGCCACTAGTTTGGTTAACTTTTGTTCTATTACATATGTGGCTTTTTTTTTTTTTGCCAAGTGCACTGATAGTTCTCTGTCTATGATTGTTTTTTACTACAACACTTTTGATCTTGGGAGCAATTGGAAATTGTTAATATATAAGCATCTGCAGGGGAGAGATTGTATCTCCTTTTCATTAGACTTCGTATACAGCTACTTTTTTCAGCTTAGATACCCTTGTAGTAAACATTATATCTCAGACAAGCTGTGTTCTTGCCAAAGTAAGCTTTATTTAAGGAGGTGTATATTTGCATTTTGGAGGAAGGTTGCAATTAAGACAAGAGCTTTTCACGTAGCCATTTTTACTCTGCTTGTTCAGAGAAGAGAAATCAGATGGCTTTGTATGATACAGTCGTCTCATTTGGTAGGCCAGTCTGAGAAGACATCAACCTTGGATTTCTTATCATTTCATAGAATGTCTTGGGTTGGAAGGGACCTTAGTAAAGATCATTGAGTTCCAACCTCTCTGCTGTGTGCAGGGTTGCCACCCACTAAATCAGGCACCAGCTCAGGCTGCCCAGTGCCCCATCCAGCCTGGCCTTGAATGCCTTCTGGATGGGAACCCACAGCTTCTCTGGGCAGCCTGTGCCAGTGCATCACCACTCTCTGAGTAAAGAATTTCCTACAAACATATAATCACAACCTTCCCTCTTCATGGTTTAAAACCATTCCCCTTTATTCTGTCATTATCGGGCTTTGTAAAACATCGGTCTGCCTCTTGTTTATACTTGTTTCTTCTTAATATCTAACCTAAATTTCAATCCTTTCATTTTAAAACCATTCCCTTTTGTCTTATCACTATCTGCTCATGTGAAAAGTCGGTCTCCCTCCTGTTTACAAGTTGCTTTCATTATTGGAAGGCTGCAATGAGTTCTCCGCAGAGCCTTCTCTTCTCCACACTGAACAAACCCAGCTCCCTCAGCCTTTCTCTGTGGCACAGACCTTCAGTCATCTTCCTGGCCCTCCTTTGGAAGGCCTCCAACAGCTCCATGTCTTATTGTTGCAATTGGTGTGAGACTCCACTGACATGTAAGATGAAGCACTCCTTTACACACTGCATGCTTTGGAAACAGCTGTAGTGTACATCGTGGCTTAAAACTACATCGTGCAAAACTTCTGACATCCTTTATATTATTCAGATAACTTCCTGTGCCCATTAAAGCTTTGTGGAGTGCCATGCTGCAAACACACGTTATTATAAATGAATATACATATATAATATTTTGCAATATACATATTGCTTATGCCACATACTTTTTATACCATACATCCCATTCAGAAAAGAGAGCGTCTCATCTGTTCTCAGTACTGCTTGTCTTTTTATCCGTTTTATCTTATCAGTCATCCTTCTTGTGCGTTTGCAGGATATCCTTCCTGTCTACAGCATCTTGTGCTTGCCTTGTCTTGAAGCCTTTTATTCCTTGGAAGCAACCAGCTACACAGGTCTTTGCTCCTTTGGTCCCACTGCTCACATATCTACATAAAATGATTATTCACTGTGCCTGGCTTTGCCATCAGACTGTTATGAAATTCAGAATTTTACTGCATTTCTGCCTGAATCCAAAGCAAAATAATATTTTCTTATATCCTGATTAGCTTACAAAACTATACATTGCTGTACGTGGACAAGTGTCAGAAGTGCTCTCACAGTTTGGTTGCTCTTAACAGCACTGCTGTTAGGGAGAATGTGGTTTTGCAGGGGTCTGTTAATGTGTTAGCTTCCTCCGTCCTCTGTTCTGTTTGGTTTTGTCTTTCCTCTTTTTCCTCTCTCTTTCTGAAAACCACAGGTTTCTTATGTGAGCCAGGTGAGCAATTCCACACTATAGCTTCACCCTCTTTACATCAGGCAGTGGCTTATATCCGTCCTGTGTCTTATTTACTGCATCAGGTTTTGAGATGCATAAAACAACATATAACAAACTCTGAAAGCAAAAGATAGTTTTAGATGTTGACAGTACGTGTTCTGCAGGTCTAGCATGATTCACCATTCTTTCTCATCCAAGCAAATTCTTTGTTAGGTCTTGTATTTCTGAGAAGTGTGTGAAGTAACTGAATTACAAAATATGCAAAACAAATGCCATGGTGATCACATGTTTGATGTTTTGGTGCACACAATCCAGTCTAATCCAGGTTTAAACCTCCTCCAACCTTAACAGGAAAAGTCAACGTGCAGTGTTGAATAGAAGCACAGGTAACTTCTACCTCGAATATTCCACAAAGTAGGTGATCTGGCAGTGTTTGGGAGAACCCAATTTTCTGCTGTGTGACAGCAAGTGTGACAGCAAGGCCAGGGCTCAGGAAAGGCAAAAAAAAGGCTC